GTATAATAGTCCAGCGTACACAAAACAATGACAAACAGATAACTGATTAACAGATACTGCCTATATAATTAATATGAAATCTGCTATCTCATATATATTATACGATTCTATCTCGATCATAATAGACAAAAAAAAGATGCGTACCTTAAATTGTCCTAAATTCCAAAGATCTGGCAAGAAATCTGGTCACTCTGTTGCAAAAACTTTCCTTTTTGTGCACTTCAAAAATTTGCGAACCGTACGTACGTTGAAGAGAAATAACAATTTTAATAATGTCGTAAAGGTTAGATTATTGGCGCATCCCGCGCATTTTCTGTTCGCGTTTATCTATCAAAATGAGCTCATTATGATAACTATTATAAGTTAGAAATAGCAGTTCATAACGAATTCTTTTTTATTTAGTGTTAAAGAACTCAGAAAAGAGTACTTTAAGACTATTTTTTGTTATCACTTTAGCAAATCATAAAGAATTCAAAAAAGGGAATTCTTTTCGCGCTCTTTCTGGAGATCCCGCTGTCTGGGAAACTAGATACCCTTACCTATGGTACAGCTTCAACGCCATTTTTAGTTATTAGGTGCCTAAAATATTTAGCGGATGAAATTCAGGAACAGTTACCAGAAATTGTAAATATTATACGTGATGACTTTTATGTAGACGACCTGTTGACGGGCACTAATTCGGTTGAAAAAGCTACTTGGGTAATCAGAGAGCTGTGTCGAATATTAAATCAAGCAGGGTTTAAGCTAAGAAAATGGGCCACGAATAAACCCCTCATACTAAAGGATATACCTATAAGCGATCACAACCCGAATATAATTAATTTTGAGGAAAATAATCAGTTTAAAACACTAGGTTTAATATGGAAAACAAACACGGATACTCTAAAATTTGATATAAAAGAAGTAATAGAATTAAAGAGCACAAAGAGACACATATTGTCGGAGATAACACAAATATTTGATCCGTTAGGTTTACTAGGACCGTGTATTATACAAGCAAAAATCATACTACAAAAATTATGGCTGCAAAAAATAGGATGGGACGAACCACTTCCTTGCGACTTACAATCTAGTTGAAATTTCTTTCGAAAGCAATTAGTAGAGATAAAGCAGCTTAACATATCCAGGAGCGTTGTGTCCAAGGACTGTTCAGACATAGAATTACAGGCGTTTGCAGTCGCGTCCCAACACGCCTATGGCGCATGTGTTTATATGCGTGTACAAGATTTCGAGGGTAAAGTAAGTGTTAATCTATTGTGTTCAAAAACAAGAGTTGCCCCTCTTAAGCAACAATCAATACCTCGCTTAGAACTTTGTGCAGCTCTTTTATTAGCACGCCTAGTCAATAAAATTATTAAGGAAGCTGTTGAGATAAAAACTTTTAATTTGGGTATTGCCAGCCTGTCTGCCTAGTAACATTTTTTGTTTCTAAGGTTGGTTCTATTTGCTTCTTGTGCGTTAATCTTTTCTTTCGTAACTAGTCTGTTATCCGCCTGAACGGAAGTCTTTTTCGTGAGTCTTTCTCGTCTTAGTATTGCATGCAAACAAGGAACGTTTTGTAATTCCTTTCTCAAGAATAAAACTTAACATGGTAGCAGAGCGTGGTTCGGTGTAACTCGTCGTGTGTAAAAGATCGTGGCGTGCACTTGTATAAATCGGTCGCAGTTTCGTGTGCCGTGAACAATATCGGTTAAAACGGAAAGACGATCTAACAATAAGCATGGAATACTACCAAGTAATCGAGAAGCTTCGGGGTAAGAAAATTGGAACGTGTGGAAATTCGCCGTGAGGAACTTATTGCGTGGAACTGAGGGCGCATACGAAGTGTGCATCGGGGAAATAGTAAAGCTAGTACCGCCGGCGGACGGTGCTACAAATGAGCAACAGACTCAATATCGAGAAAAACTAAAAACGTGGGACAAAGCGGATCGTGCTGCGAGTCAGATTATAGTCAAGACGCTAGACACAAAAGTAATGGCGCTTTTGATTTCATGTGAGACGGTGCGAGATGTGGATGAAATTGCACGCGATTTATAAACAGCAGACGAAGCGAGCGTCTCACACAGTTCAATCGGAATTTTTCAATTTCGGCATGGATCTGTCTGACGACATGGTGACTCATATAGCTAAATTTGAGGGTCTAGTTCTACGTATGCAGCAGTTGAATGTGAAGCCTGACGAATCGTCATTAGTCGTGAAATTAATAGACACGCTACCGGAAGAGTATAAAAGTCTGCGTCAAGCATGGTGGGCAAGAG